TTTTTGGAAAAACCTCTTCAAACTTCTTACTGCTGCGTGGCGCAGCACACGCGCAGCACTTTTCATCTCGCATCTGTTTGTTTTTTAGAAGTCTTCTGAATCAAAACCTCTGCGCAGGCTCTGTTTGGCGCAGCACTTGTAGTGTCTCTTCTAACTTCTTCCAACCTCTTCTTCTTCTTTTTTTATTGCTGAAATTTTGATTATATGTTATTAAAATTTTATTTCAGATTTTTTTTTTCCGTTTTTTTTTTCGTTTATTCTTATTGAATTTATTTTTCATTTTTTTATATTCAATAATGATAATTTCTTGATGAAATATCATTATTTTTTACTAAAATATCTTTATTTTTTGTTGAAATATCATTCTTTTTTACTGAAATATCATTAATTTTTACCGAAATGTTATACATTATTAAATTTTACGTATTAAAAAGCTATTTTCGGTTTATAAAATTAGTTTATTTTAATTTTTTAATATCTGCAGCAGTATGCAGACGTTAAAAAAACAAACACGCTTCTTATTATAGTCTGCAGCCGTTTGGTCCACCTCTTCTACTGCAGAGGGTTGCAGAGGTGGTCCGCAGACTTCATGAATTTTTGCTTCAGAAAATCAAACAGCACCTATGTCTCCTTCACTGATATATCGACGCAGCTTTAAGTGTGTGAATTGCAGGTCCCGATTTTCCTTCCTTGACCTTACTTGATTTATTAGAAAGCAACGATCATTAACCTCTTCACACATTTTGTCGGGCTGACATTGGATTAATCGTGTTGGATCTTTGTACGGTGTTTGGGTCCATCACTCTCAACAACCTATTTAATGTCTTGACCGAACACGGCAAATTTGCGAGGTCTGAAAAAGAAAAAAAAAACTGATGCCTCTAATGCTAAAAATTCATGTGTCCGCCCTCGTAATATATGGACTGAGCCAAGTATATATAGGCTTATCTTTACAACCATGCTTAAATTAAGGGTGTGCAATAAACCGCATAAACCGCCCACACCGCACCGCATAATGCGGTTTTGAACGTCTGCGGTTTGGTTTGCGGTTTGTAATTTTCGTAAACCGCACTATGGGGTGCAGTTTGCGGTTTATAGTTACAAAATCGCAGTTCAAACCGCACTGCACCGCATTATATATAGAAATTAACTGAAATATATATATATATATATATATATATATATATATATATATATATATCATGATTTTAGCTTTAATTATACTTAGCAATGTTAGTTTATAAATGTTTTTAACTATAGAAATTAACTGAAATTTACTAACAATCAAGAAAGGAGTAAGTACTTAACAGTACATATGCTTGATTGTGTTTATATTACCTAGTATCCATCGTGAGTTTTTAAAAAACTTCTATTTAATATAATTCAAACGTTATCAATGATATACTATATTTTTAAGCTAAGTTAAAAACTTCTATTTAATATAATTCAAATTTTATCAATGATATACTATATTGTTAAGCAAATTTGTGATTTTTAAGGTTGTAAAAAAAATCTTGCAAAATTCTTAAAGTATAAGACAAAACAAAAGATAATTATAGAGAATATTCTACAAGTCTTAAATTAAATTAATTATTTACATTCTTGAAACCGCATAAACCGCACAAAAACCGCAAAACCGCCCGCATAAAATTGCACCGCATAATGCAGTTCAGAACCTTCGCGGTGCGGTTTGTGGTTTCGAAAATCTCAAACCGCATATGTGGTAGCGTTTGCGGTTTTGATTCTAAACCGCACTAAACCTCACCGCGAACACCCCTAACTTAAATAGAGAGTAATACATACACTAGTATCTTTATCTTAAAGGCGGTTTGCGTAGCACAAAAGCTTGATCAAGTTTCGTTTAATATTATTTTCTTGTCTGAAGTGTGGGGAAAATTTAAATATTTTGTAATATTAAATTCCAAACAAATCATAAATCAATATGGAAAAAATTCCAATAACCATTACAACATGTCATGTTTAGATTCACGATGACAATAATAGACCAATTGGCTGTGTTTAATTAGCTCCAGTTAGTTGACATAACTGTGCCTAATTTTTAAGGTAGCCTCCCTAACTGGAAAAAGATGAAAACTTCGATTGTGGTCTATGGTGCTAAAGCATTGAATAAAAAGAAATTAACAAACACTGTTGATATAAATATTATTCAACCTAAACATTGTATATTTGCATGCAATTCTACCATAAGAATTTCATGAGTAATGGTTGTTATGGCTGCCAGTGCATCATCTGCTATGAACTCTTCCCAACGGATTGGGGTAGACGTGCATGCGATGATTAAGAAAAACTACGTTTCTTCTTGGGGTTTGCAAATTAAGGCTCCTACCAAAGTATATGTTACCAAAGTTGGTGCTATAAATTGGAGCATGATGTTTCCTACAGTTAAAACTATTCCCATGAAACCAATGATGATGCTCGGCAAGGAGAAAAAGTATCCAAAGTTGGTTCCGGATCTTGGTTTAGGGAGTGTGGTTAATGATGACCGCATATTTGGGCAAAATTTTTGTATTAGATCATATGAAGTTGGGCCAGATGGAACAGCTTCAGTAGAAACACTAATGAATCTTTTCCAGGTATATATGTAATTAAATGGATTCTTGTAGCCATATATGCCTTTTCGTTTGTCTATGTGTTGGTATATACATCTCTTATTTACAATCTCAAATTGGATTCACAGGAAACAAACGCTAATCATTTGAAGACATTTGGATTCCTCGCTGATGATTTTGGTTCTGTGGATATGTCCGAGAAGAATCTAACCTGGGTGACGATAAAGATGCAAATGATATTGGACCGTTATCCAACTTGGTACTATGCTCATTTTCTTCAATATATAATTCTTTGGTTAACTAAAACTCTATCATATAATTGTTGTCGGTTGGAGGAGAATAAGGTTAATCGATATGAATCCGAGATCAGCTTGAAGGATCGTGTGATCACTCTCCGAATTTTATATTTCGAACCTATGCATTGGTTATATGGAATTCAGATTATGCAGAAAACCATTCAAGGAATAGTATCCTATCAAGGCACTCTTATAAGACAATGAACTAAGGTTTTTTAAAATTCAAATTCTTCTGATTACCAAAGGTAAACACCTATTAGTATTAAATGCGGATTTCATCCTAAAAATAAGAGTTGGTGGTTTCAAGGTAATTATCAAGATATATAATCCAAAAAATAATATTTTCCACGATACCTTTTTAACAAAATAAGGGTTTGGGTCCACCTTGCCGGGGAGCAACCCTCTTATGTGCCCTTTTTAACTACTTACCATTTTGTCCAACCGAAATCAAAGTCGTTTTACACATAAGTGCACTCCACACCACCTTACTTCTCAAAAATCAATAATTTATCTCCATAAGTAATATATACTAATATAAATTTTGTTATATTAATATGTTCTGGTGACACTAAGTTAAGACAAAGAATCTATCTTTGTCTTTGAAGCTAATGCTAGTGGAAGTTGAGTAGATCATTAATATCGCTATCACTTAATAATGGCTAGTGGAAGTTGAGTAGATCATTAATATCACTATCACTTAATAATGGTTGTGTACAAGAAAGTGTCAGGTTGAGCTTATTAGCATGCTCAAATCTTTTACAGGGGTGATATTATTCAAATTAATACTTGGAAAAGTGCATACCGAAACAACGGTGTTTCTTCCAATTTTACATTTTATGATTGCAAAACTGAAGAGATATTGGGAAGAGCTTCAAGGTATAAATCTTTCCTAACTTGCGGAATTAGAAATTGGTTGTGGTAGGTCTTGTTTTTGTTGATGGTGATTTCTTGTAGCATTTCGGTGATGATGAACAAAAAGACAAGAAAGTTATCTAAATTTCCAAATGAAATTCGGGCTAAACAAGAGAAATACTACGTGGATACACCGGCTATTGTGGAACAAGACATTACAACGTGGTCAAAAGGAAACAAGATTATTAAGGACCACATTTGCAAAGGTTTAATGGTGAGTTTGTTCTTTAGTGAAAAGTTGCCTATAGTTTATTTACAGCTTACATGACTTGGATTCTTTGTATACGTTAATATCAGCCACGATGGAGCGACTTGGATATTAACCAACATGTGAACCATGCGAAATACATCAGGTGGATCCTTGAGGTAAATGTATTATCTTGCAATTAAATGATGAATGTGGTATATATGCCCATCCAACAATATATTAAAATATTGTGTTGTTATTATAGAGTGTTCCAAGGACAATTTCAGAGAATTACGAGATTGAGAGAATGACTCTAGAATACTATCGAGAATGTACTGCGGATACTGTTCTGCAATCTGTCACTTCAATATTGGGCAATCACAAAGGAAAAATAGTTATGGATGACATTCATTGCCAGCATTTGCTTGAATTCGAGATTGGTGGGGAGATCATGAAAGGAATGACTGGATGGCGACCAAAATGCAAGAATGGCAATGCTCAAGTATTGATTAAATAGTTCCCTAACGAAAGTGACTAAAACCAAATACGGTGATAGCCGAGTAGCATTACAAAATCTCCTCCACCTACCTAAATGTGCATAGTTTCATGATCTTACCCAAATGATTGTAACTTTGAAACTCACATAATGGATGTGCTTATCTTCTTTAATTCTTTCCATTGTAAAGCATATTGGCTTTTTGAGATAAAAATCCCTTTTTAGATCTTGCAATCACAAGTAGCAGCGGACGTACCAATATCTACCAGTAGTCGCACCCAAAAAAATCGATCAAATATAATAGGGTAAATGTAACATCCATAAATTTTACGCAAAATTTAAAATTTTTCAATCATAAATGAAATCAAACAGCGTTTGTTTACAAAAATGTTTTCAATTCAATATCCATCAGAGTGTCCCAAAATCATAACATAAGGATGATTAGCGGTACGGTCATGCGTTCGCCTTGCCATGATCTCCTAAAGTACCAGAAACAATAAACTGAAAATTGTAAGCCCGAGGGCTTAGTGAGCTACCCCCAAAATACCAATACCACAAAGACAATACCATATCAGTAATAATCAATCAATCAACATGCATACTGGGCCATCGGACCGCCCTACAGGGCCTACAGTCTATCTTGATCTATCCTGAGCCTTCGGCATGACTAGTCCGCCACGTGGGCCTACAGTCTCACCAGATCGCTCATAGGGTATGTTGGCCTTCAGCAAATAACCATGTACGCATAACTATCATATACTGGCATATACAAACATCAAACATATCTATCTCACTGAACATCGATCATAGAATTCTCCTGTAACTAGAGTACCGACCTAGCAGGTCATTAACATACCAATCCCTACGGATCATAAAAGCATAACATATTGTCTACCTTGATTACGATCTAACAGATCATAACCACATGTAACATACCATAACAATAATAATTAAAGGGTCGGCCTTGGTGCCGTAGACCCTATCGATATAGTGAAGATAACTCACCTCACAGATGTCGACTCGGAAGGTAAACTCCAACTCATGGATCACTTGACACCGGCTCCACCACCTATTATCATAGTACAATATACTCGTAAGTCCTTAACCTTATAAGGTACTCCATAACCCACTATTCAACCCCTGATCAAAGTCAAAGTCCTCAGTCAAGGTCAACAGTCCATGTTGACTCCAACTCGCCGAGTACCCTTGGCTACTCGCCGAGTTCCTTGAAGTACAATCCAACTCGCCGAGTCATCGGGGTGACTCGTCAAGTTCCTTCGATTCTCGTTCAAGCTTTAAGGCCACCCATCGAGTTCCTTCCTTGCAACTCGACGGATACACACACATACATATTCTAAGGAAAACTCCTCCGACTCGCTGAGTTGTTCTTCAACTCGTCGAGTCTTATGGTAATCTTCATCGGAGTCGCCAAGTTGTTCATCCAACTCGTCGAGTTCACGGCCATCTTCATGTGACTCGCCGAGTCAACCTTGCGACTCGTCGAGTCCATTCAATCCACTTTCCATACAGACTTGTTTTGAGCCATCCAGCGGCTCCAAATCACAGATCCAAGCTTCTAGGGCATGCTTATCACGTAAAGTTGCAAACTTTACGTGCATGCATGGCTATAAAGGCTCTAAATGCCTATTTCAAGTTCTTAATTGAACTTCATGCTCAAGAGGGACCTTAATCATGACCAAAACTAAAACTTTATGCTTCTAGAATCCAAGGAGGGTCCAGATATGAAGTTATAACCTCAGATCTAGCCCATAGCTCATCATTCCAACTTATTATGTCACCAAAAACCCTAAAACTCATCCAATAGAAGTGGTTCACAAGGAAAAGGCGATGTGGTTACCTTCAAAAGATGATAACTAAGATAAGAGTTGATTCCCACACTCTACTTGCTCCAATCTCCTTCTCCTCCAAGCCTTCTCCCTCCAAAGATACTCTTTTCAAGCTTCAAACACACAATGGGCACACACACACGCGTATTAGGGTTTTAAGGGGCTCTCAAAGACTGCAAAGAGGCCAAAGGAGGCTGAGGCTCCTTTAAATAGAGGTGCAAACCCCGGGATTTAGGGTTTCATCTGCCAGCTCCTACTCGCCGAGTCCCAATATGGACTCGTCGAGTAAGTCACTTAACATGCAATCCCACCCTGCTGCTACTGGACGAGTAGGTCAACCAACTCGTCGAGTAGAGCTTAACCAAATAAATCTTATTTAAACAATACCTGAGAATTGGGGCGTTATAGTAAATTTCACCAATCGTCCTTCGTGCATGTACCAAAACGCACATTTACTCCATATTTTCAAAAATGAACTTAGACCGTTCCTCATTTGTTTTAACCTTACACGATTCATCCTTGTTGACATGAAATAATTTTTTTTTTCCCTTAATAATTTCTTTTTTCATTTTCTTTTATTTCTTTATCAGTTTTAAATTTAAAGACAAGAAAAATAAAGAAACATCCCCACCCTCTCCTCCCCTTCTGTTTGCCCAACTCCTATAACAAGATTCTCTATAGATTACCCACCACCTATCACCGCCAACACCTTCGATACCACCACTTATCAGCATGAACACTTCCTCCAACCAAAACCCCAATCTAAAAACCTTATACCTAGCTTCTTCAGTGTATATGAATCCGACCATATATTCTTTATCGTCTTCTCCACCTTGCACCTGCCATCATCCAACTATCACGTTCATGCCACCATTGAGCAACATCTTCTACACACTATATTTCAAAGAGAGAAGGATATATAACGTGTTGAATTCAATTCTGACGGTAGAGCTCGATCTGAAACTCTAAGTGGTAGTTTTGAAACCCTAGGCAGTGATAATCTAGACGATGGTACATAATTGAAGAGGGACAATGGTGGATTCCACATCACAGTGGTAGTGTTGGTAGTCGATGGTCTCGATATCTCAGCTACTCATCTTAGCCACGATAGAGGTAGAGATATCGATCTGGACATCTATCGAAACCAACACCGATGGAGATCGATGATATCTATTGAAACCCTAGCCGGTGCCGATGGTGGCCTACATGTGACGAAACCTTACGGATATCGTTTGCAGCGCACTGTTGATAACATATATCGGTGGAAGAACCAAAGAAGAAGGAGAAAAAGGAGGAGTATTCTGATTGGAGAAGAAGGAAAATAGAGAGAGAGAGAGATAAAGAGAGAGAGAGAGGGAGAGAGAGAGAGAGAGAGTGTGTGTGTGTGTTGTATGTATGTTTGTATTCAGATCGAAGGAGGAGGAGAGAATAGGGGAGGGATGTGGTCAATCGATGCTAGTAGGCAGTAGTCTAATGACTCTCTTCTCCGAAAACATAGTGTCTTCTCCGGAAAGACTCTCTTCACTGGTGGTCGTGATTATTTGTTTGTGGTTTGTTGGGTTTCATGTTTTGGAAGGGAATGAGCAAGAGAAAGAGGTTGGCATGACTTTTAGTTTGAAATGGTAATTTATATAGGCCAAGAGATGATACATTTATATTTTTATTTTCAAGTATTATAGTAATAGATTTTTATGTCTCTTAAAGTGTTTTGAATTTAAAAAATAAACAAATTACGGAAACATTAAAAAATAGATAAAAATGAATTTGTTTGTCTATATTGTCAAGTTAGGACTTAAATGGGTAACATACTTTTATATTTGTACACATTTAGTCCAATAAAGAATGAATACATTGTCATTTTTCTTGTTAGAAAAATAGCAATGTGCTTTCTTATAGTCATTCGTCTTAACCAACATATCAAAAAATTCAGTCATTTGCCGTTCATCTTAACGTCAAATCATTCTTTCATCTTTCCCATAAACAACCGATCATTTTTTTCGAAAACCTCTCAATTATTTTGTTATGATTTGAAAACAACCACAGTTTCTGAAAAATCCTTTACTGCCATTGTTATCTCACTGGAAGAACAAAGCGTTGAGATCAGGTTTGATTTCATCCCATATTTATTGAAATTACCAATGTATTGTTGTTGTTTCTTGGACTAATTACGATAAGTTGATAAATCAATAACTTATTAGGATGTTGAAAAAATAGTCAGAAATATGATCATTAAAGGAAAAAAAAAGTATTTGGTTTCAGCTCATATTATATGGGAGTTGCAAACATACAAGTGTGTGAAATTAAGAGTGAAAACTTACAAATGACTTAAGCAACACCACTATTTATATTGCCATCACAGATACAAAAAGTATAGTAGGACTTCGACTATTAAAATGTTACCAAGTAACAATGCCTACTAAAATACATAGATATCTCAAACATGTGAAACCTTCGATATAGATGGATATGCTATACTTCACCTCTATATAATGAAGACTTTGACATCTTGATATCATCACAACATTTGACTCTATAGTCTCCCCTTTGTGATAGATATTGTGACATCCCCATTTTCACGGTCAGAAAAGACCGATTTCGTTTATGTTTTTTTTTTTTAAAAAATCAGAGTAATCTTTCAAAAAGTGGTGCGGAATTTGTCCCCAAAACAAAATATAATAAAAATGCATTAAAGCATTTTTTAAAGAAATGTATTTTTCATTTCATTACAAGACTCGGGATGTCCACAAGGATACAAACCAAAACAATGAACATTACAATATAGGCCTTACAACATTTATATACATCTGCTAGCCTATAATCCAAAATCCCTCATCACCATCCAACTATGTTCTTGTTCCACTACCTGTAATACAGAAAGCTGAGTGGGTCAGGCTTAGTAGCCTGGTGAGCATATAGGGTTTTCAACCCACAGCTAATAAATTTATTAATTTCATCAACCAACAATAAATTTATTAATTTCATCAACCAACAATAACCCTGATTAACCAATCCCGTTATCCTCACTTTATGTCCATAAACACCTATCACAAGGGACCTAGCCTAAGGATCAACATCGGGATGGACTTTACTGCTAAGGGGATTCCTCAGCCATATATGTCCATAAGGCACCCATGAGGGGGATGAAGTACATTGGTGAACACATTGTTCACAAACACCTACAGGTTGCGAGTCTACTAGCCTTCCGCTGAACTGTCTAGAAAGGTCCGTGGTCATCATCTATACTCTGCTAGATGACTGGAACAACAACAACAACATGCATTTCATCATTTTAACAACCATCAACTATTTCATCTACCCATGTTATACATAACATATTTGTAGATAAAAATACATATACAGTTTAAATCATTCTAAACATGTATAAAAACTTCATTCAACATCCATCTCAAATAAACAAATAATATTTATACACATGGGATGTATTTTATAGAAAATACTTCATATCTATGTGTAAGATGAAAATGACTACAAACTTACTTGATAAGATGGTAATTCGACAACACTTCGTCCTTTAAAACAATATTTTTCGATGAAACCGAGATGTTTTCTTAAAAACTGGGCTTTACGCGGGCAGAGTTTTGACTCAAAAAACTCTTTTTCATGGAGACTTCGGGCTCTCTGGGGCTTTCTTATGATGTTAGGAAGGTATTCTAGGGTTGGGGTATTTATTGAAGCTTAAAAGAAAGTAGAGGGTGGAAAGGTATAAAATTTGTAAACAAAAATCGGATGCCTCATACTTCTATTTATAGGGTGATCTTTGGTCTCTCATGTCATGAGAATTCTTTGCACACGTCGTGAGCCATGGTTGATCATCCTGTAGCTTTGCCATCATCGTTCTAGGCCTGCTTGGTGTCCGTTTGATCCTTACGTCGTAAGAAATCCATTGCTCATGTCATGAGCTTTTGACTTATCACCCCGTAGACTTGCCATGCATCTTCTAGCTTCAAAATGTGGTGTTTTGACTCCCCACGTCGTGAGAATTAGTGCTCACATCGTGAGCCCATTCAGATTAGGGTTTTCTGACACGTGTCATGCTTTCAGACAGCTGTATATTCGACAGGCCATAACTTTTGCATACGAGCTCCGTTTTTGATGTTATTTATATCCACACGTAGGTGGAGAAGTACTTTACCACTCAGGGCTAATAAGTACTCTATCGTAAACTCACTTTTATGATTCCCGGTTTCATACCAGTTTTGTCACGAAACTTCGACAGGTCATAACTTCTTTATTATAACTCGGATTTCAGTATTCTTTATATCTCTGGAATCCTTCTAACGACCACTACAACTTTTTTCATAGATATCGCTTTATCTAACGTTTTATATTTATCCTTAATTTATTATATTTAAGTATAAAGCACATAATACTAAAATAATACATTTTTATTACTTTAAAACGAGTTACAAAGGTTGACCTAGACTGTTACATCATCTTTAATGATTTAGCCCAGAAACATGGGAGTTACAATTCTCTCCCCTTAGGATGATTCCGTCCCCAAAATCATACATCAGTAAAAAAGTGCGGATAGCGACTCATCATGTCACTCTCTGTTTCCCAGGTAAGATTTGGCCCATTCGTATGTTTCCATCGCACAAGCACTAAATCGACCATCTTGTGTCGCAACTTCTTAGTCTTACGGTTAACAATTGATTTTGGTTCTTCAATTAGCCTCTTACTTTCATCCAACCTTAATTCAAACATTGGAATTATGTCGGGAACTTCTCCTTTGAACTTTCTCAAATAAGACACGTGAAAGTGTTATAATTACCATCTAGTTCTTCTGGTAGTTCTAGCTTGCAATCTTGGTTCCCAATCCTCTAAAGAACTTTAAACAGTCCAATAAACCTTGGACTCAACTTTCCCCTTTTAACAAATCTTATAAGTTACTTCCACGGAAAGAATTTAAGTAAAACCAAATCTCCAACTTCGAATGTTATCGGTTGTCTTTTCTTGTCAGGATAGCTCTTTTGACGATCCTGAGCTGCTAACATCCGTCCCCTAATTACTTTCAGCTTTTTAGTAGTTTGATTAACTATCTTGGGTCCCATAAATTGCTTTTCTCCAACTTCAAGCCAACATGACGGCGTTCGACACTTTTGTCCATACAAAGGTTGATAAGGTGTCATCTTTATGCTTGAGTGGAAACTATTATTTTAGGAAAATTCTACCATATGTAAATGTTCATCCCAGTTACCTTGGAATTCCAAGGTACATGCTCTTAGCATATCCTCTAATGTTTGAATTGTTCTTTTGCTCTGACCATCGCTTTGCGGATGGTAGGCTGTACTTAGACACAATTTCGTACCCTATTCCTATTGTAGACTTCTCCAAAACCTTGACGTGAAAAGACTATCACGATCTAATACAATCGTTAAAGGAATACCGTGAAGTCTTATTATATCCTTCATGTAAGCATTTTCAAGTTTAACCATAGACCATTTTCATTGGCTGCTACGAAGTGTGCACTTTTTGTAAACCAATCAATGACCACCCAAATCATGTCATGACCACTCTTCGTTCTGGGCAGTTTAGTCACAAAATACATGGTGATGTCTTCCCATTTACCCATGGGTATAGATAAAGGTTCTAAACTCCCATACTATTTCTAATGTTGTGCCTTAACCCTCCTACAGGTCACACACTCGGCCGCATACTTTGCAACATTGAGCTTCATCATCGGCCACCAATAGTAGGGTTTCAGATCCCTATACATTTTCGTCATGCCGGGATGAATCGAGTGCATGGTCTTGTGGCTTCCTCCATTACAAGATCTCTTATTCCTCCTGTATTAGGTACCCAAATCCTATATTAGAATACCTTCAGTCCTTGACCGTTTATATCGAACACTAACGTTTTGCCCAAATGTTCTTCCTTTCTGTCATTTTTCTCTAAAGCTTCTTCTTGAGCTTTCTTGATTTTTTCTACAATCGTTAGGAAAACTTCGATTCTTTGTTGTCTTGGCCATTTCTTTTCAAGGCTCACTTTTCTACTTAAATCATCAGCTACAACATTTTCTTTACCAGGGTGGTAAAGTATTTCACAGTCGTTATCCTTAAGCAACTCTAGCCAGCGTTGTTGTCTCATGTTTAATTCCTTCTAATTAAAGAGATAATGAAGATCTTATGATGAGTGAAAAGGTTGCACTTTGTGCCATAAAGATAATGCCTCCATATATTTAGGGAGAATACTACCGCTGCTAACTCCAAATCATGAGTGGGGCAGTTCTTTTCATGTTCCTTCAATTGTCTCAATGCATATGCTATCACCTTATCCCTTTGGATCAGAACACAACCTAACCCAA